GGGTCAGGCAAGGGCCCCTGGAGGCCGAGAATGGCCAAAAGCTTCCCGTCCGAATTTTACTCGAACATGATTGAGCCGGCCCAGAGATCCGACGTCGTGATTTTTTGAATACGGGGTCCCTGGAACTCTCGACCCATTCCCCAGGACCGGCTTTTCATCCAGAATCGTTTTTTGACGGTCCCGAGGTCTGGCGAGGGCCCCTTGGAGCCGAAATTTGAGAAAATTCTCCGTCTTGATTTTTTCAATGCGTTGGATCTCTGGGGGGACCGACCGTCCCGGCATTCATATTGGCCTAGTTTTATGTCGGGCGTGTCCCCCTACAGGGGGATTTTCGATGGAAAAAAACAAAAACATGCCCAACATACACTAAACATGTCCAAACATATGCAAAACATAGTCCCCAGACTATTTTTAGACGATTTTTTGTTTTTTTTGGGGGGTATTTGTTCTTCGTCGAAAATCCCCCTGTAGGGGGGACAGGCCCGACTTAAGCCTAGTTCTTCTGCGACGCGATCATGTCTTGGGATCTCGCGCCGCGCAGTCTCAGGTGGTGCGGTCGGCGCTGGGCGCGGACGGGCGGAGGAGGAGGAGGAGGAGGCGGAGGAGGGAGGAGGAGGAGGAGGGGGAGGAGGAGGAGGAGGAGGAGGAGGAGGAGGAGGAGGAGGAGGAGGAGGAGGAGGAGGAGGCGGAGGGGGAGGGGGAGGAGGAGGAGGAGGCGGAAGAGGATCGAGGATCGATCGATCCTCTCGAGCCCCTGGTCCTCCCCCCCCTCTGCGGACGCCCCCCTCCCCCCGAGGTGGCCGGGAGCCCTCGGGGAGCAGCGCCGGGGCCGAGCAGGGCGCAGCGCAGCGTCGGAGGCGTGAGGCCTTGCCTGCGCCCCGCGGGATGTGCCGGCGCTGGATGGAGCCGGCGCTGGATCTCCCCTAGGATGCACAAGAATCTCCAGCCAACGCGAAGAACATTGGGTTGCCCTCCCCGGACCGGCCTCGATCTTATACCTCGGTCCGACCGTAACTTTTCCTCTTTCGGGAGCGGCCAAGAGGGGGGTGTCCAAGAGGGGGGGGTGCAAATCATGACCGGCGGCATGTGCGCGGCCCAGCGGGGGGGCCAGGGACGTAATGAAACAAGAAGAGGCGCCACGGAATCTGGGAAGATTTCATGGCCGCCGCCATGATATCCCCCCCCCCTAGTCATCACCCCCCTCTTTGCCGCCCCCGAGCTGGAGGCGGCGTGGGGCGCGTGTGCGGCCTTCCCCCGGGGGCTCGACCAAGGCAGGGCGTCTCTCGTTGTCGTCTCGTGCGCGTTTAATTTTTCCGTCGTTCGGGGTCGCTCTGGTTTGGCGCTCGTTGTCCCTCGTTCTCCAAATCGGCTTGCCCTATAGGAGTCCCAGCTCGTCATAGGACACCCCCCTTTTCCCACTGGTCTCCTCCCCTTTCTCCAATGGCCCCCCCACTTTTTCCAATGGCACTTGCTTGCTTGTTCTTGCGTGCTTGCTCTCGCTTGCTTGCTCTTGCTTGCTTGCACTTGATCGCTGGCTCTTGCTTGCTTGTTTTTGCTCGCTTGCGCTTGCTTGCGCTCGCTTGATTTTGCTCCTCCCGTTCTCCTCCCGTCCTCCCTTCGTCCTCCTCCCATCCTCCTCTCGCCCTCCTCCTGTCCTCCCATCTATTTGGAGCCAATGCTGGCTGATACTCACGTTTTCCTTTCGTGTTCGCTCTCCTTCGTGCCGCGAAAAACGACAGCGAAGCGAAAGCGGCCCCCGAGGTCGGCAAGCACACCGCTTTGGTCGAGCGCCCTGCCTTCCAGCCCGTCAGGAACAGCTCGCGGAAGGGCGGAGACGGGCACGAGCAGGCACGTGGGCCGGGAAGGCGGTGAACACATGATACCGATACCGATACATCTCGCGGAGTTCTGATCTGTCTGGCCTCGGGGACGTTTTCAAAACCTGCCGATTCAGGGAACTCTGAGAGGTCCTTAAAAGAACCTATCGACTTGCAACGGGCTAGCGCTCTCGGCAACCAGGGCCGCACAGCCCTCGTTACTGGCACCCCTCAAGGGGAATACGTGCGCAGGGCAGGGGCGATGGACAAACCTCCCTTTCGTAGCCTCCCCTCGGTGAAAACGGCCTGGGGGCGAAACCGACGGACCCGGACCCGCAGAAATCACGGCCCCGACGCCCTCTCGCAGACCGAGAACGGCGAATTCCTGGATCGACGTGTCAGGGTAGGAGGTCTGTCCACCCCCGAACAGAGTAGCTCGGGTTCGGCCCCGCCCAAAGAGTAACAGAACACGGCACTACTCATGTCGCTTCTTGAAGTAGGGAGGCGCTCGAAGTACAGTCAAAAACCCCAATAAGGACGCGCGGTAAGGACGCAAGGGCCCTCGGAAGCCGAAGTTGGGATTTTTGGGGGCGGCGGACGACGCAAACCTCAAGGACGCAAGAGCAAGGAAGAGCAAGGACGCAAGGGTACGGCAGGTTCGTGTCGTGTCGACCCCGGCGTTGGTTTTTGACACCGCAGGGATCGTTCAACCTTGAACGATCGGCCGTCTCCGCAACGTCCAAATGTTCAACATCGAACGATTCTGGGTCGCCCGCGGCATTCAAAGTTGAACGGCGCTGGCGGGGTCGCCGCTGGTCGACACGACGCGAACCTACCGTACTCCAGGTTTCGTAATAAAAGGGAGGGGGTCTGGAACCTCCAAGACAAGCCATTTCAGACCTCCCCCGTGGGAGAACCCTCCAGAACATCGTCCCCAGACCCCCCCAGGCCCTCCAAGATAGCCTGGAAGAGACCCCCCCCGAAATGAGACCCCCTCCCTTTTATCATGAAATCTGGAGTACCCTGGGCAAAGTCGCGTGTCCTTATTAGGGTTTTTGACTGTAGACTGCGGCATCCGGGCGTCCAGAGATAGCTACGCAACGCCTGGCGCGCAGGCTCTTGGAGGTCCGCGCGGGTCTCTTGGGTCGGTGCTGCGCCCCCTTTCTGCTCTTCCTCTTCTTCCTCCTCCTCCTCCTCCTCGTCCTCCTCCTCCTCCTCCTGCTCTTCCTCCTCCTCCTCCTCCTCCTCCTCCTCCTCCTCCTCCTCCCCTTTGCTCCCCCCTCCCCTCCCCCATCCCGTCCGCCACTATCCTCCTCCTCTTCGTCGTCCTCCTCCTCCTCCTCTTCGCTCTCCTCCACAGTCATATGTCATATCCCCCTCCTCCCCATCCTCCTCTTCCGCTGGGCCCACCTGGCAGCACCCCACGAGACACCGAAACAAGAGAGGACCCAAGAAACCCGCGCGCAACTCCCACAGGCCGTGCTCGTGCAGATCTCTGCCCTTCGAGCTTGGCCATCGCGTACGCCGCGAACATGAAGGGCTCGCCGGTGCCCCCCGCGAGCTGCATGCCGCCACCCGCACTCAAGGCGATGGCGCTCGCGGGGCCGGGACCTCCGGGCGCGCCGAAGAGGAGGGCCGGGAGGAGGAGGGCCGGCGCATCATCAGAGGCCTCCTGGATGGGGTCGGATCGCACCGCATCGGCGATGCATCGCCGCCGGCGGCGCGGAGGAGCTCGGGGTCCGCATCGAGCCGCGTCGGCGGTGGCCCCCGACCATGGCACGTGCGCAGGGCAGGGGCGGTGGCCAGGGGACGTGTTGAAAGAACCGAGGGCCCTGAGCAGAAGAAGAATAGAGCTACTTGATTAGAAACTTTTGGCGCTCCGCGCGGATTTCTTGGATTCGCGCTGGACCCCCCTCCCTGGCAGTAGACCGCGCCATGGGCGGCGCCGGAGGCGCCGCCCGGGGGCCCAGGTGCAGATCCACGAAATCCGTGCGGAACGCCAGATTTTTTCGTTTACCTTTTTTTGGGGGGTTCGAATGAAATCTGGGACATCTCACAGCCCCAACCACGCACACGCCCGGTCCTCACGGCCCCTTCTTCGACGCCTGATGGCTTGCAGGTCACAGCTCTCGGCTTAGGTCGGGGATGTCCCCCTACAGGCGGAATTTGACGAAAAATAAAATATACCCCCCCAAATATTCAAAAATTGTCAAAAATCGTGCCCGGAATGATTTTGGATTATTTCCCAACCATCTTGTGGTGTTGGGTCCTCGTTTTGAAGAGACGGTGCCCCGCGTTCTCTCCTCCTTTTCTTCCTCCTCCTCCTCGCCTTTGCTCTTCGCATGTCTCTGTTTCGGTACACCCCTGACACGTTTCGTGGCCCCATAAAAGGGGTTCCACCTAAGGTCCCAGTGGCGCAGCCCGCATGGCGCCACCGCCCCATTGTGGCAAACCCCTTCGCACGTTTCGTGGCCCCATGGGGAGCTCCACCTAAGGTCCGAGTGGCGCAGCCCGCAGGGCGCCGCTTTATTTTGGCACACCCCTCAGTGGCCCCATAAGGAGCCCCATCTAAGGTCCCAGAGGCGCAGCCCGCATGGCGCCGCCACCCCATTGTGGCACACCCCTCCCGTGTTTCGTGGCCCCACAGGGAGCGCCATCTAGGGTCCCAGAGGCGCAGTCCGCATGGCGGCGCCGCTCCATTTTGGCACACCCACGTGTTGTGGCCCCATTAGGGAGCTCCACCTGAGGTCCCAGTGGCGCAGCCCGCATGGCGCCGCCGCCCTATTTTGGCACTCCCCTCACACGCTTCGTGGCCCCATGGGGAGCTCCATCTAGGGTCCCAGTGGCGCAGTCCGCATGGCGCCGCCGCCTTATTTTGGCACACCCCTCCCACGTTTCGTGGCCCCATAGGGAGCCCCACCTAAGGTCCCAGAGGCGCAGCCCGCATGGCGCCGCCGCCCCGGCCCCATTTTGGCACACCCCTCGCACGTTTCGTGGCCTCATAGGGAACCCCATCTAGGGTCCCAGTGGCGCAGCCCGCATGGCGGCGCCGCCTCATTTTGGCACACCCACGTGTTGTGGCCCCAGTTGGGGGCCCCACCTGAGGTCCCAGTGGCGCAGCCAGCATGTCGCCGCCGCCCTATTTGGCACACCCCTCACACGTTTCGTGGCCCCTCACACGCT